CCCCCAAAACCCCAAAACCCCAAAACCCCAAATTCCACTACAAAATTATATTAATTTAAAAATGTCGCTTGGAAGTTTTTTCAAAGGCACAAGTGTGGACCAGAACTCCAAATTCGCCGATAAGGACAAGAAGATAATCAACAGCACTAGCTGGCCAGAAATCTTCAACCAGAAAGTTGACATCAGTAAGGTAAATAGAGACAGCATCAGGCCATGGATCGAGACCAGAGTTAACGAACTCATGGATGTAGAGGATGAGTTGATACCTGATTTAGTCATTTCTTATTTAGAGGAACAGCAAGAGCAAGGCCAGTCTCTGTGTCCCAAGAAAATCACAGTTCATATCACAGGTAAAGCATTACACTGACATATAGGGTTCCTAGGAGAAAACGCAAAGGTTTTCATGGAGGAGCTTTGGCAAATCCTCTTAGAAGCTCAAGATAGCAAATTTGGTATACCTAATACTATTATCAACCAGAAACGAGAGGAAACTTCTACATTGAAAGAGTTGATTAAGGAGAAAAGGATTCAACTTGAAAAAGTTAAGCTCAAGGAACTAGAAATGAGAGATGAATCCAAAGGTAACCCTCCTGATGATTCTCACTCTTATTCTCGCAGAGAGAGGGATTTAGATAGACACCACCGTCATTCCAAGAGGAGTCATAGACACTCTCACCGTCATAGAAGAAGGTACAGCAGCGAAAGTTCAGAGGAAAGAAGACACTCCAGACGATCCAAGAGGTCACACAGATCCTCTCACAAGCATAAAAGAGATAGAAGAAGGAGAAGGTCATATTCCAAAGAGAGAAGAGATTCCAGGGACAGAGACGATAGAAGAGATGACCGTGATAGAAGAGACAGAAAAGAAAGAAACAATAGCAAGGACAGAAAAGACACCAGCAGGGATAGGAAAGATAGAAATCCTAGTAAGGAGAAGAAGGATGACAAAGAACCCCAGAAGGAGCACACTAAAGAATAGGCAGTAATTTCTCAATCACTTGCTAATTTTAAGGGGTTTTGGGGTTTTGGGGTTTTGGGGTTTTGGGGTTTTGGGGTTTTGGGGTTTTGGGG